TATATAAAAATATCTTTTTGGAAAATTCTCGGGGACTGAAAAAAGTTTATCGTGTGTTTAGCTTGAAATTAATTCAAGAATTTTTGAAACTTTTTTCACTGGTATAAATACAAAAGCGCTCGTAGTAAATATCTGACTTACGAATTGTAGCTATGACACCATTTATAATGGCAAGTTAAAAGTTAAACATAACTCTTTGAATGCACAGTTGGATTTCTCAGCGTTCCGCTTCAGACAGTGCGACTTCTAATACTTTGTTAGATGCCTCTTCGTGTTTACTCGCTATTAGACTGGGTATCTACCAAAAGATGCGTGAATTATATAGTGCCGCATGTCTTGATTTTTCCCCATTAAAATTGTTTTTGTTATTTATTTAAAGCACTTGAAAATACTTTTTATCGATCTATCAGTGTTGAACTCACTTGTGTTTTCGTTATGGTATCGTCTTGTGTGGTTGTTTTGTTTCTTTTAAACTTTAATGAATTTATAAAGTAACGTAAATTTTAAACTAAGTATTTGTAAGTTGACACCTACTGTTTACAAGGGTACACACCGTTGATATCTTATTGCCTGTGTTAGTGACTATTTTGATTGAGCTGGACTTTTAGTGCGCATTGAGTTTTAATTCTGTTTTTATGTTTTGGTTTAATATTCGTGTTGATTTTTATTATTTTAGTAGCATGGCTTACATTATACCTATTATATTTATTTACTATATCTGTGACTCATAACGTCGTATCACTGTAATGACTGGCATCTGTAAAAAGTGTAAACGATTGATTAGAATGAAGTCTTGGACTTGTTCGCTTTCAGATTGCAGTAATAGCTTTCACCCAGGTTGTATTCAGTCACACTTTAGTCCGCATCGTGCTACTGATTGTTGTGCGCGAGCCTTTAGGTGCGAGATAAAATGCAATATTAGTAGCGATGATCCTAGATTGCTAGACGTATTCACGTCGCATGCCAATTTTTACGACTCTGCAAGGGGTATAACCCAACCTCAAATGGGTGCTACATATGATGGGTTTGATTTGGGTGATGATTGGATTAGTGGATCTCATTTTGTACATGGTTTGCAAGGTCGGGCTGCCTCTCTGCCTCCAGCTGTATATTTACAGCGGGGGCGCACAGATGAATATGCTTGAGGACGGAGGGACAGATTAGGGGCTGTGCCGCAAATTAATTTTCCAATGCGCGGCAGTGGCACGAGTGGTATTGATGATCAGAGAGGTGGAGTGATTGTGAGGGGATGCGAAGAAGTCGGAATGCCGGTTGGATGACGTGAGTTTAACGAGAATCAGCGTTTTGCGTCGCTTTTTCAACTATTGCAGACAAACAATAGTAAACTTGAGGAAATTGCTGCACAGGCTAGTGTACAATCGCAACGAATTGACTCGCTCGAGGTTGCGACTAGTCAGCTGCGTCGGGAGATAGATGAAGTTAAGCAACAGCGTACTGCTTTGTCGCAGCCTGAGTTGAAGGTAACTGGTGTACTGGCCGATTTCAGCGAGTCTTTCGCGTCTCTCTTCACGAAAATTCTGACTATCCTGAACCTGCTTAAGTTTAACGATGATGTGCTGGAGGTCAGGCAGATTCCTGTTAGGAAGCATCAAGCTGAAGGCCCGCCTGGCTCCTCGGCAGCGGCCCGTCCTGGAGACACTGACCTTGGCTCGCTGTCTGCATAAGATGTTCATTCTAAGTCAATATTCGTTCGAGATCATGTATTACGAGCTGCGTGATGGCATGTCAAACTAAAACTAAGCACCTTACTGCCAGAGGCCCAATTGGACTCAACCGTTCGTTTTTATGAGATCCTACCTGACACTGTTTACAGGCTCTTTCTTCAAACAAAAGACTGGACTCCTGAAAGGGGTTATAAATATGTCTGAAATAGGAAGGGCAATATATTTGTGCGGAAGGACGATAGATTGGAAAGAATAGCGATTTACGCGAAGGCTGATCTGGCGAGGTTGGTTTAACATGCAACCCCGTCCTCCGCTGCTACTGGTCGTCCGTTGCGTCTTGTAATTCGCGTAGCGCACCTCAATGCGAACTCGGTAGCTGATCACTATGATGAGATCAAGAGCTTTCTAATTAATTTTAGAATTAATATTTTATGTGTTTCCGAAACATGACTTACCCCAGCAAGAAGTTCTTCGCTCTATGAGATTCTGGGATATAACTTTGTTACCGTCTGGGGTATCATTTTAATAATTATTATATAATAAAATAACCATTTTTCTTTAATTTCGATCGTTTTACATAAATTTGAATTTTGAAATATCGCGCGCAGCTCCGACTTCAATCTTTGCACTTAATAGTATCACTCACTTGGTATAATTAAAATATACGAAGCAGTGGTAGTAGGAAAGTACATATTCAAGAAAAATCACAGTAAACTAAACCACTCTATTACTTTCTTTAAACCTCACCATACTCCCCTCCTATCTTTCTCTCACGCCTCATAAGTTTATATATATTGCCTTTGGTCCAAGACCCAGAAATCTCTCAACATCGGGACGATCTTCAAGGTGACATCGAAAATCCCAGCAAGGTCAACTAGGTCGTAAAAGATTACGGCTCTGACATTACCCTACTTCAACGCTCTACACTTTGACGAAGCCAGCGTACCCACTGCACCTACGACGTCAGGGCGATACCACCTTCATCGTTCGTCCACGAAGGGAGGACTTGGCTCTTCCGAAGTGACAGCGGTTACTACACTCCCCTTGTTCAAAGCCGCCCACCCCCAAAGGCCACTTTTAACAACTTAGTTAAAAATGACCGGGGCTTGCTCTCCAAATAGGAAAGAGACAATATATGCCGGGAGGAGGGGTTGCCTTTTACATCTTTACAGGCTTAGAATTTCACGTACTGGAGGCTCCACAAATTGCACAAATGAATGAGACTGAGTATGTAATGGTGGAAATAGCCTCTTTACCTTCATAGAAGCTTCTTCTTGCAGCTGTCTATAGACGTCCAAAGGGGCAAGTACTCACATCATTTTTTAAATTTTTTTAATAAACATGCACTTTGTTCAGGTTTTATAATAGCGGGTGACCTTAATGCTGATCTTCTTGAGCGGGAGTATCACTCTGACCACAATCATCGCCTGATTTCGGAGTATTCCCTTTACTTAGTGCCATGTGATGCTGCCCACCATACTGACACATCTCATACTTGGCTGGATACTATTATTGTCGATGCGAGTAACAGGGTGCAGCGGGTGCAGAAGTCCCAGGTGCCATTAATATCTGGTCATGATTACCTTTTCATTAACTATGAATTCCTCGCGCCTGCTACGTTTGTCATACGTGCGCATGATGGTCATACGGCCATCTTGCGCTCTTTGGCTCGTTTTAATTTCTCAGCTGAGGCTATCCACTGGGTTTACTCTTACATCTCCGATCGTTCAATGGCTGTGCTGGGGCTGGATGGTGAGCTTACTGAGGCATGTTCTGTTGCCACGGGTTTTTTTTCAGGGGTCATCACAGGGTCCTATTTTGTTTTTGATTTTTATCAACTCCATTCTCTCTGTTTTGAAATTTAGTAAAGCAATCTTGTTCGCGGATAACCTGCAGTTGTACATCCAATGCAAGCCATCTGACTTGGGGGCGACTATACAACTATTCAATGCTGATATTATGGCAGTAGTCGGATGGACGGGCGACTGGGGACTCATGCTTAACGATGAGAAAATTTATGCGATTCTATGTGCTTCAGACTTGTCTTGGAACCGTCATGTGTCGAGGGTGTGCTCCACGGTTCACAGCATGCTTCATCGTCTTCGCCACAATAGTGAGGCGCTTTCGGTACGTTTTCGTTCGATGCTGGCGAGTGCATTGACTGTCCCTCACTTTGATTGTTGCTGCCTGGTGCTTACTGACATGTCTGACTATCTCGAGTTAAAGCTCAAGTGGTTGCTAAATACGGTTGTGCGTTATGTGTTTTGTCTGAGGCGTGATGCGGAACTGAAGTCTTATTTTAGATGTTTAGGTTGTCTTACTTTGACCTTCCTTGGGCTATTAATGTATCGCACGTTAACGACTGGCCGCCCGGATCACCTTATGGGACCTTTTCTAGAGGTGGTGGATGTGCGAAGGTCCGAAAGGGTTGGGGCTTCTTCGCTACTTAGGCCGGTGGCCCGTACTGCCGCTTACCAGCGTTCCTTCACACTCACGGCACTACAAATCTGGGAAGAATTACCCTTCGATATTAAAATGATCGAGTCACAGTCCTCATTCAAGGAGGCTCTTTATAAATACTTACTTGATTTAAGTTAGCTCTACCTTGCAAACCATTCAGTGGCTTTTGTGTAAAAATGACATTGTTATTTAACTTAAATAGTTATAACTATTTAATCTGATAAGCTTATAAGAGATGCTTATGCTTGCGTGGCTTTTACGTTCTGCTGTATTGAGAATTACTTATTGAATTTATACTTAAATTTGTGTAATAATATTTTTTTATTTTATTATTCGCATGTATTTCTTTGCCATTCAGATCTTAAACCCTTGGCATAATAAAATCTGTTATCTATCTATCTATCTTTCTCTACCTAGCCTCATCACCTGGTCAAACGTCCGCGAGTCCAGCCCAGCGTGTTGTCGTCCGGGGTCCTCGAGCGGGTCGATCGTCCTACGGCTTCACTCTTTCTCTTCTTTCTCTTTTTTACCCTCTTCTTCTTGTCTCAGCGGCTTGCGTAGTCCTCGACCTTGAGACTTCGTCGTCCAGGGAGAACACAGCAGCTGCTAGACTCGCGCGCATTCCTCTCTCTTCTCTAAACCTTCTACGCACCTTCTCGAAAACTTTCTCAACTCTCTCTCTCAACTCTCGCCACGAAAACCCGTAAAATTACCCACGCTCTTACTGCTCACACTTAAGCGTACAGCTCGAGGCTCTACTTCAGACTGGCTTGCGATCTCTCGTTCGAGCAATGGCCGCCACCGCTGCTGCTGCCACGTATCTCCCCTCGCAGTTACTCTCGACATAGCAGCTGCTGTGTGTCCTGGTAGTCGCGTTCGCATTTTTCTTGTACTTTTCTGCTGGCGCTGCTGTGTCTCTGCATCTCAGCTGATTGTCCATTAACGTCCTCTTCTCATCCTCTCAGCGTATATACAGCTCCTAAAAAACAAACAAATTCGGAGAAGCTTCGACTTTCTGCTCTTTGTATATACGTTGCATTAGCGAGAGCACTTTGGAACGTGGAGGCCATTTTTCCTCGTGACAGTAAATGACCAGTAATCATCGTGGTTACTGTAGCTTTGCAATTTTTTTTTCTATACCTCGAATGAACGGCTGTACTTAGCCTTTCTGAATATTTAGTGTACAAAATTTCATTGATGTACAAATATAGAGCTCTGATCTTTATGATAATTTTAAAAAAATTGCGAAAATTATTAAAAAAGGAATATAACATGGGTTAATGAGATGTATGGAAAAACATTTTTATTTATTTTTATTATATAATTTATTTCACAAACCTAACCTTAAACATACTAAAGACTCTACATTTTGTTCATCCCCAGAGTTTGGCGTGATACTTTTTATTATAAATAGAGCTGGTTCCATATCTATGAAAAAATTAAGATTCATATTAATATATTCATTAGCATTTCGTTGGACAACGTATGATTGGTAATGCGAATGGAAGTACACCTCTATAAATTTCCATAGTCGCATAATAACTATTTTTAACACATATTTTTCTACTGATTTTACCAAATAAGTGTACCCAGAAAAGGATTCCACAGATATTTTAGCAGATATTTACATTTACACTTTACTTATTTATATACTTACGATTAATGCTGTCACGTAGAAAAAATAAATCAGGATACCTATCAAAAAAATTATCCATGATGAACAAATAAAATTACACTTGTCACTTGGGTTTCCTAACCTTGACTTCCATGTGGGCAATATGCTGCGGAACAGTACGCTAGGGACGGCCACTCAAAGCAGCGAGGATCTGTCACCCATCAGTCATTAGATGGCAGCTCCTCTTTGTGAGGTATCAGACACTCGCTGTCGAGTGTCAGCTCCTCGATAGCCGAGGAGCGGCCACTCTGAATTATGAGCGACTACCAGCATGCGTATCGAGTGGATGTTCCACGGTTCGGAGTAGCTGCTCCTCGAAACTTTTTTCAGTGTGAGAAAAAAGGAGTGGAAACAAACTCATTTCGGTCTCGACCATGAGCTGAACTTTTCAGTATGCCGTGCTTGTGTCTTAGTAGGTTTTGAAGTACCACGTACTTATTACATTCCGACTAAGTTTTATTTATAACTTTTTATGGAACAAATGACAATAAAGCTTTTGATTTTTTGTTTGAAACTTTTATTGTATTGACCCTTCAAATTTTTAGACATGTCTGTTTTGTCTTTTGGTACTAAATCTTCAAGTGTCTGTTTATTCCTTCTTTATTTTTTTGTTACCATGTAAAAATGTAATCATATTACAATTTTTAACTTATGTCTTATATATACCCCTGATCGTAAAGGAAGTAACACTTCTTCCTTTTATTTAATAGTTTTTTTACGTTGGAGCAAAAGTATCGAATGTTCTATAAATATTTAATCTTTTATTTTATTGTTACGTAATTCTTAAAAGAAAGTCAATGTTCTTTCAATCTGTTATAAAAAATTGTACACACATGGTCCAGAGTACATATTGAAAGAATAAGTTTTTTTGGATCGGGGTAATTGATATTAAATGGGTTTGACAGAGGTCTTCACCACTCATCATACATAACTTCGAAAAAATACCTTAATTTGTTGACACTGTGCATACAAGGCTACAATGCAGAATCAACGAATTTCTTGCTTACTTTTGCTTGGGAGCCTTGTCTCGGCCAGGGATTTTTCCGTAGCGGACTTATGTGCTATTAGAGTATAACTACAATGCCAGCTTGGCTGAAATCGTAACACCTATAGTGCACACAAGGGTTTCACAAAATCTATTAAGGATAAGCGCGTTAATTGGAGCAAAGCTCACACTTATAATAAATCATTATCTAGCTAACACACTAATCACATTATCAAAATAGAGAATCTCGCCAAATAAGCGGTAGAAACACAATATCGCAGTCGTCGTGTATTAGACTAATACGTCGCGTAGGATATACACATAAAATAAACAAAAATGATCGTGATGAAAGTCACTAGGCAAAATAACTAAAGAATGCCCAAGAGATAAGCTATACAATGGGATGCGAGACTCACGGTGACATGAACGCTGATGTAGGGAGCAAGCCGCAAACGAGCGAATCTATCTTATGTGACCAGCACTTAAAAAATCGACGTATGCCAAATCGAGCGCGGGAACTATTGTTTATGATAAAAGAGCGCTTGAAAACTCTGATTGCAAAGATCGGCCGGCTAGGGTACATTGCTTGATTGATAATTAAACAATCATGGTCAATAATTACAACCCAATGCCTAAAAGAGTGTTAGACTCTGGAGCCTCTCTGACATCGAGAAATTTACTCACGGATCCGTGTTTTCTTTGCTTTGATTAAAAAAACGACTGCTCTATTGATCCAGGATTCAACTACTCGCTCTCATTGCTCCACAGCGGCTTGCTCTTCCCTTAAGCCCTTCCCCTTTTGCCGCCGATTGACGTTCTCAATGCGCGATGATACTTCGTGGCTTAGATCGGCGCAGGAAGCTAGAGGGAAATCAATATATAAAGATGTTAAGTACATATGTTCACGCGTGTGTATATGGGAATCACCTTGCAATATAAAGACCAATATCTATGTAAAATGAAGTGTACGGATGTATGACTTAAGTATCACGCAGTATCCCATAAGTTTCTTACTTTACAAACAACTAAGAAAAATAAAATATGGGATCAGTAACTTAATGTTTTGACTAAAGGTATAAAATTTACTGATTAATGTATGGTTGGATATTTGTATTGCAACAAACGTTTATTAAAACTATTTTTTTTTATTTTATTTTTTCTAATTAAGAGTGTAATACACCTGTCTAGTTATTACGCTTTTTCATTGCTTGATAATATTATTAATGTATAAGACAGATGTGAAGCATAAAATTAGTTATAAGGAAAATCTTTTTCAAAATATATCGTTAATAACTGATCCGTACTTACTGCGTATGATTGAAAAAGCCATGAAGGAATAAATGAACCCATTTGATATAAACGTCTTGCCACTCCTTTATATAAACTACTCTTGTCTTTTTTTTCGTATTTCTCCATCAAACTTTGTAGAAGATTCCAAGCAAGGTTAGGTGGACTAGTAGTTAAGAGGCTTAGATCTTGAAAGTTTTCAATGATTAGATATATTGTTCATAACTACATAAAATGAATGTATAAATACATACGTAAATAAAAATATAAATATGTACACAAAAATTTTGACGAAATAGTAAAAGAGTATCGTAAAAAAAATTGATTAATATCTATATTAATTTTTAAAGTGAAAAATTTTCAAGGTTTCCGTTATTTTCTGTCTGAGCCACTTCGGTTACCCACAGATAATATTTTTCTTATGTAACTCATGCAGATAAACATCGTTCTTTAAAATATAACACAAATTGCCATATACGCACATTATATGCTCTAGAACCAGGTCTGTGTCAAATAAGTTAAGCAGAACAGTACCCACCGTGTACGTTTGCTGTAAACCTATTCTTTCTAATGCAATTGTGTTAACAAATTTTATTTCCGTGCCATTTTTTACTGTGTTATAATTGATAACGTTTAATTCTGCACCCGAATCTGAAATAAAAATTTCCGAATCATTCCGAAACGTTTCGCAATGTAACTCAACTGCTGTTAATTTTCTATCATTCTTGTTTGGAAGGCTGTGTAGATTTTATGCTCATGATTGATTTTGGACGCAAGATCGGATTCGAACTTGTAGACGCGTCCAAACGGCGAGTTTTGTTCTTGTTTTCTCAAACAATAGGGTAAGAGTCTTGGTATTGTTTTTAATAACACTCAAAATAATAAGTGGCCAGTACAGCTTGGATGCACGGCTATTTCAACTTGGTCAACTCAAGCAGCTACTATCAGGCTAGCTTATCCTGAGAGCCAAGCAGAATCTGCTCAGCAGCTGAGTCAAATACGACCGATCACAAACTGAGCACTGTGCATACTTCAGTACGTTGACTTAATCTGCTAAGCAGTTTCTGTTTGGCTCTCAAGCTAACCTAGCCTGAAAGTAGCTGCTTGGGTTGACTATGTAGTTATGGGTGTGAGTAATGGGTATATTAGGTCAACTAATAAGCTATGGAAAGTAAAAAAAATGTAATGATGCTGAAAAGTACCGTGCTCTCATTAAGTCATAAAATGTTTGTTGGCCCTAAAAGGCCGTTAGTTTGCACTTTCTTACGTTAAAATGAATAAAAAATGCTGTTTGTTAGAACTGTGAATATTTAAAACCAAAAAAAAAAATACAATTAAAAATTGCTTTTCATCTCAAAACTTTGTTACCAGAGCAACATAGTCTTGGAGCCTAATCTCTCAATTTTTAGTGGCTTAATGAATACAAATGTAAAGAAAGATTTAAGTAATTACTGTCAGGACTATAATGGAAAGTTGATGTATCCCTTAATAGACGGGAACTATTCATGGATATTAATGGATTTTGACGCTGTTGTTTTAATTGTGTTAAATGTACTGTATTAGTTTCTTGATGCCTAAAATCGTATACATACATTTACATCATTTAAAATTTTCCTTTTAATTTGCCCTTTAGCGACAATAGGCATTGTTAAAACTTTGAGGATCCCGTAAATACGAATGATCGTCCTGAAAAGGGCCAGTGGTAAAACTTTTAGACATTCCCTATTATTATTCTTATTTGTCCTGGCTCGCTGTTGTAGCAAAAGGTGCTCTGATAGTACACTCGATAATCTTGGCGGTTCAGGGTGAATTTTGACGAGAGTCGCTGGTCTATTATATGAGAGTGTCGTTGGTAGCTGGAATACCCAGCTGCACGTTTGACAACTCTGTTCTTGAAGTACTTCCGATGAACGAGTATGGTACTTGACAATTCGCTTCAGAATACTATAACCAGGCCCACTTACTTTGATTGCAGGTGGCTTTAATTTTACTTTAACACCACTTAGCAGATCCTGCTGAGCTAAAGTAAAAGGCTTTGAGCTCATTTATTGCTTCCACTATTAATTTTGTTTGAATTTTAGTAAGATTAGTTGAATAGTTTTCGCAGTTAGCGATTACAACAGTTTTTTGGACTATGCTTTATGTATTAGTGATATTTAAAAGTTCTGCCGTGTATTCTTGATGAAATTTTGTTGGGAACAATTCGTGTTTAAGATGTTTTTTTAACTGATTATTTTAGATAAAAGTAAAATCTATTAAACTATTTAGGGCCTTGCCTTTCAGTCTAGAAATAACTGTGAGCAAATATGTAGGTTCTTAGGCAGCTGCCATTAAAGTTTATCGGTGACATCCCATGTCATACATTAATTATTTATAACTTCGAAAAGCAAATGGTCAGCAACTTTTGAACATCGAGCTGTATACTTACTTCTGCAATCGTGTGACGTAACTTACTTCTTTTGAAACAAGCTCCTATCGCAAAAGTCAAACTACGCGTACAATCTTCAAAAAATTCTCTGAAGCACTCATCTTACAACATCAACTTTCACTACTTCATTCAAGAATGTAAACAATCAACAATTTCAACATTCTTTCCTGCGTATATCCACAATAAATATCGTATACAATTTCGACAGCAACTCGTACTTTATGTAAAATCCGAGAGACCGGCAGTTTTAATCATTAATTATTGCACCACGACTGTGCTCGTGTAAATCAAGGGTAATGAGGTTAAGCTCTGATTAATCGTTTGCATCCCTAACCTGACGTGTCCTCATTAAATGCAAGAGTATAAAAACTGCTTGCACGTGCCAATATTCATTTTTTCTTTTTCATGAAGTACTCTAAAGTAACTATAAAAGTTGGAGAGTGAGTTTTGTTGCATCTAATAAGCGAATGTAAGACTTAATTCGGTGATGAAGCTTTGTGTTAGAAGCGTGCATTTCAAGCAAATGTAAGACTTTGTTCAGTGACCAAGCTGTATGGGAAAAGCTCGAGCAAACCAGGCCACTGAAGGCTCGACTAAAAAGTAAATCAAAGAGGAACAAGAAAGAGATGACTGTCGACGTGGGTTCCAACGTTAAAAGAGCAGCCTTATTATTGTCATCGCGACAAATACTCTCGCGTAGGATCAAAATCATTGTTGTGGTCCATCTTGTAAGATATTGCGACTGCGTGCGCGCAAGCAGCAGTTAACCAACGATTAAAGAAGTCATTTAAGTTAAGAAAAATCACAAATTGTTATCTTTATAGTTTATATTATTTGTGAAAATTAATTATTTTTAGCTTTAACAAACAAGTAAATCATCATATAAGACATAACTTAATTGTTGATTAAATTTATTTTCCTAATTCAGATATTATAAGATTCAAAATTCTTGTTGAGAGAAACGTAATTTTTGCTTTGATAAATAAATTAAATACCAAGCAAAAACTGAATAGATAACGTATGGCAAATACCTATTTACAAGGACGTAAGTTAAAGAGATGAATAAAATATGCTACGACTTCATTACATTGATATAAATTTCAACAGCAGGTCAACAACAGCTTAGCGTACTACACCCTTATACCACTTTATACACACTATTCGATGAAACATAATATTACAACGCCTTGTCAACGATTTAAAAAAATAGTGTACTGTAAGTAGTACTTATATAAAAATAGTATAAAGTAAGAGTAAATAAGGTCATTGGGTCGACGGTTGGTTCCTGGCGAACATAAACTGAGTTTATTCATTTGCAGACCGAATCTACGAGTTTCACCCTTTACTTAAAAGTTCGGACCAAACACATCCATTTTCTATGTCTTGTAAAAAGTCTTGTAGAACAGTCAAGTATCTTTCATAAAACTGTGTGATGCTTGATTTATGCTTAATAATAAGTAACATTTTGTTCTTGTTAAACATTTAAAAAACCTTGATAAATAAAATCATTGACCAATGAATTGTCTTTACTATTTTTGAAAATTTTACTCATTTACACATACAAAGAGGCCTTATTTGTTTGTTACCGTCCATGTTACTATTTTTTAAATTATTTATTTATTATTAAAATAACTACCATTTATTAAATTCAATCGTTTTACATAAATTTAATTTTTAAATATCACGCGCAGCTCCGATTTCAAACTGTGCGCTTGATAGTTCCACCTACTACTTGCTAGGTGGCAACTACTAGTTTCTGGTGAACATCTCAAGTAAGAAAGTAGCTTGTAGTATATAAGAAGGGCTGTGCGACTTCTCGGAATAATCCTCCTGGATCATCCGATCTAAGCCTATGGCCAGGTTCTCACTTGACGAGACCTGCGCTACGGCAGTGGCCAGAGTGATAGTTAATTGCAGTAAATACAAATGTTCAATGCCACGTTAAACTCAGTGTGTCGAATATTACTTCAGCCACTCTCGCCATCATTGCATTACGTGGTATTTTTGTCCAACTACTTGTGAGGACCAGACAAATACACTGGTGACTGACTCTCCTCGGCTGCTGCGAGTCACTGCGCAACCAACGACCAGCGGCAATAGCTCCAGCGGTGCTATCAGAATCCAGCAGAAGCACCACTTTACAACGCCTAGAGCCTGCATCCCAGCGTTCTCACCGTTGATTTATCTCCACAGCCAATTCGACATCCTCGTAGAGGATTCTTGCCCACCCTTCTTTTGCTGTTCAAAGCCGCCCACTACATTAGGCCGCTTTTATTATGTTGTAACGTAAGTATTTTTTCACTCAAGCAATGCCGATTTGTTATGACTAAACTTGTTTGAAGTATGGCCTTAACCATTCTTTCATAATGTCATTTACGGACCTCCTAGTATTCAGCTTCAGAGCTTTATTTGTTTCATTCACTTGAAAAGAAAGTCTAGATTAAAATGATGTAGATGGAATCAATTATTGTTTTTTTTTATCAAGCTAAATTAAAATAGTTTATGAGTTTCAACATAATTTATTGGATCACGCTAACAAGTATCAGTATTGATTATATTACTCACATAACTCGCTTACATCTATTACTGTTTGATACTGCTACTCTGGAGTTCCCTAGTGCTTCGTGCAGTACTTTTTAAGGGTTTTTTCAACCATACAAATGAGTTTGTGGCCAGAAAAGTTTTTATTACGGTTGCTGCTCTTTCTTCTATCGCCATAACGAAGATTGGCGGTCATTTTCAGCTGTACCTTGCTCGTGT